TGGGTACAAATAAGGTGGTGTAATTTGGCTAGTACCAGTCGTTGAACGATCACTATCTACGACGCTGGGTGACAGGTTTGAAATAATGGTGATGGTCGTCAAACGGACAGAATTCACCTTCGGATCGCGGTGGCATGCCAGTCAGAGCGTGTGCTCTATTTGCATGACTCCGTCCAATTTGTCCTCACCTTGCGTCTTTCAAACCTCAGTTCAGAAGGGATACTTACTGGTCAGGTTCAGCTGCCTGATGACAAAACACATTTTTACGAGGAATTTTTAAATATTTCCAATATTGTCGTCTCCAACATATTTTCGATTTTGTTAATGGAATTCTTTCAGAACCTCAGAATCGAGGAACTTTTTACACTCAAAGGCGCTATGAGGGACGCGATCGCAGGCCGCCTTATCAAGATTTGGTTAGTACCACCGTTAATAGTTCATTGTTTTCCGCAATCGTGTTTTAATGTTCGATACACAAGGCGTCAAGTGTGTACAGTCTAGCCACCAAAGAACAGGTTTTTAAGGAACCGCATGGAAATGAAGCGCCACAAGACCACGCACAGCGTCCAAGGACATTCCAGCCCCAACCTCCTCCAATATATCCGTGAGAGAATAACAATGTCCGCCACTTTCGAGTAACTGCCATTGTTTGACTTAATCCTGGTATCCACATGTTTTTTTTTTTATTATTTTGTATGTTATTTTGTAGAGACTGTTACAGAAGTTTCTAGATTAGTGTGTCCCGCTAGGTTTCTCTCAGACTTCCTGGTTCAACCGTAGACTTTGAATGTTGAAGTCTTTTACTTTCATTTATTATTAGAAATTTTATGTTCACATTTTGCGTGATGTACGTTCATGACTCTTATTAGCGTGTGTTCGTCCGCGTTATCTCATTCTTTTTCTGCAGACACCGATTGCTGAGTTTGTTTTTACATCACATCTATCGATATGGTGATCGATGGCGTGTTCACAGTTTGCCTACACTTTGTTCTCCTTATAAGGAAAGTGTTCTTCGTGAAATTCCGGGCAGTCCCTTTGAACTAGGACGATATCGTTGTGATCCTGCTTTAACCATTTTTGAACTCTGTGGTGGGTGAGCAATTTTTGATAGTTCTTTTCGTCGAGGTAATCCAGTGGAACCCAGACCAATTACCTATGCATTACCAGGTATTAGCGCTCATCCAGCGATTTTCTGACGATTATGTCATGCGTGACCTTTGGTTTTGTAACCGAGCCGGTTTCCGGTTGATGGTATCTAACGGCATCATGTATCAGCTGAAACGCAGTCTCTCGTTCGTCTTATCACATTTCGATGCCGAAGTCGTCGTTAACGTCAACTTCTGGTAATCTAGGAAGTTAGTTCAGCTATAAATTGGGCTGACTACGTGGTGTCGCCGTCCCTTTATCTTTATGGACGTTAGAGACGGTTGATGAACTGACACCGTCATCCCTACGTCGTTGTTGCGCACTCTGTCCTGATCCGCTACGATTAGTGTCACCGTATCTCGCTTGCTTTGGTCACACGATAGCCTTAGGTTCTTCTCTATTTGAGCGTGACCCCATAGTTTCATTGAATTTCACAGATACAACTTTGCTTTCCTTCGGAATCAAATCAACTATTTCTGGGCTTGTTTCTGTTAGTGGCATTTGTAGTCTTTTTCGCTAGCAGTCTTTTTGGATATATGCCTTTAATTGTCGTGTTTGTGGCAGTTTTTCTTAGAATCTGTTAAGGAAGCACTATGGGGTAAGAAATCTTTCTGGATTACTATCAGTATGCTCTATTTGCCGTTCCAAACGGCAATATTGCGGATGGTCCAATTTAGTAATTATAAGTTCAATTCTTTCTTTGAACCGTACTTCTATTTGCGACTTTACTTCTTGCACTTACTTGTGCGGTGCTATTGGTGTAGTGTAATTGTAAAAAGATCTCTGAAACATTGCATGTATGAGAATGTGATCGGAGAAATCGTCCCAATCGTTATTTCTATCCTGCCTCGGAATCTACACATAACTTTGGATTCTACTCCTTAAGATTTAGTCTCATGAATGATTTTCTCAAGATCCTATCCGGATAGATGAATTTCTGCGCTAGGAATCGCAAATTTCCTCGTTTTTACTCATATTTTGCGTTAGAAAGGAGCATTTCATCCATTTTACTAACGCTTTCATTATAATGAGAGTGCAGTGAAAAGAATACTATCCTGATTCATTTACTATGTTTTCTACATGTTGTTCTAGAACCGATGTAAGTTTTGTTTCCCATGTTGTTTTGTTTGTACCTCTCTAATTTGCTTTCTCGCTTTTGTTCCCTTCGCCAAATTTATCGACACAGATTTGTTCGGAATAAAACGGTAGATGTTTGAAGGTGTAGTGTGTACGTGTGGATTCCGGCAGGTATCCGGTCACATTCTTAACAAATCCTCCAAACGATGGGACGTGGTGAAGCTGTGCGTAATCGTAAACCAACTGCCAGCTCAACGGATTCCGCTGAGCCACTGGCAGTACGAATGCGCGTTCCAAACAAGGTTGGCAGTATCTTGACAGCTTCTAACTAAACCTGTGTGTGTCTCTGTTGATTTCCGTTTCACTCACTGATCGGCGATCAAATAGTTTTACAAAATGTGGTATTGAATTAATGAAATGATGTACTTTTTCACAGAGATCACGTGCGGACCGCATTATGGACGAGTTATTGCTGCACTCAAATTTGAAGTATGTTCCAGATTCTCAAGAATTTCACTTTCTTCGTTAGATTTTTAGACTCAAAAATGTTTATGCGAGAAATGCAAAGTGATTGTTCAGGCGGGCTGATGGTGTCACAAATGGCCTAATTCGCCCAGTGCAGCCTATATTACGTGAAAAACCGACGACACCGTTCATCGTGCTGCCAGAGGAAGCCAGATTCGCACCACTTATAAAGAAAAGTAGATTTGCATTAGATATAGGTTCGTTCTTCTTTTTAGTCCTAACTTTTAACTTTATTACTAACTATCTAAGAGCTACAGTACGGGAAAAGACGAGTGTTAGGTTTGCTGATCTGTCGTGATGCTGGGGAAGGATAATATGCCAAGAGGATGGAAATTTTCCTCTTTAGGACAAGGAAAGGAGGACACCAGGTTGAAAAAAATGTTGGCTTGTTCCAAAAACTCAGACAAGAACCACCAGTAGGATACTGTCTCGTTGGGAAAGCGCGGTAGAATCGACCGTAATTTTAGCAAGTAAAGCAGTGGGTTTATGCCGGACTAGTGGTTAATGTGTAACAAGACTCGGTTGGTGTCTCACACGCGCAGAATGAAACATGTCTGTGAAATTCTGTATACTTTATTCTGTCCTGAGAAGGTCATCAGCATTAAGGCAGTTTCATTTCATTGAGTTTTCAGGTGGAACATTGGTAAAGCTAGTGTACTCAACAGTGTGTGAGCGAGTAGAGGTTGGTTTATATTCGATTTTTAAGGTCCTTGTCTTTAGCACATCGTGAGACCTACATGATACACTCTTCCTTTCATTACGGTCTTACATTCTGGTCATAGGCTAACCTTGTATTGTTCTGTAGCCTTTAAACCCAGGATTTGTCGGCTACGCGTTTCCATGTAAGCTTAGAGATTTGTGGGAGTATAACGCCTCACAGAGACATCTCAATTCGTGTTATATTTTATTAATTACCTTGTTTCCAATAATTCGATCTATTTCATTAGTCTTCCGTTTACATAAAGGGCTTTTACAGAATTCCAACGAACCAGAAGTTCTCCTCAACTTCAAGAAGTTTACCTCAATCGAAGCTTGTCTTGACTACATCAAAAATGTGAGTCTTTTTTAAAAAAATGTTAGGTGTACTTTGCTTTTGCTTTGTATCATAACCCATATCAAAATCCTTCTTATAGAATGTACCAGTGAACGGTAGTGATAAGGTACTGAGTTGGTGGTGTGATTAGATTTGACTGTTGCGTTGTTACTGGTTGCACCTTTGAAAGTCGTTATGATACTGAACACCTGAGCTCTTGGTCAAGTGAACAACAGTCCTCAGAATGAACCAACATCATTTCTGCAGTCTAGATATAGACTGACTGGGGGGGGGGGGGTGTTCAAGTGCAATGCTGATCAGAAACAGTTTCGGCTTTGCTTTTAAAACAACCAAAAATTATTCGCAATAAAACTCCTGAAAGTTTCGTTGCGAACGAGCTAATGAAAATTTGAAACGAGACTTCAGACAAATTCTTCAAGCCGCTGCACCCGAGCTCTGCAAAAACCCATAAATGTGCATACACCTTCAAACGTGCGGCGACGGTGGCTTTTTTATCTGGGTTTTTGCGATCTTGTTCCTGTACTGATAACATGAGCTCCGGCGTTAAAAAAAAACGCCGTTTCAGAGCAATGGGCATGTTTACATGTAACAATTATTATCGTGGAATAAAAACTACGAAGGAAACAAAAAACATTGACATGAAATAGCGAATCTTTTTGAGGTTGACATAAAGATCACAGGTTCCTCGTTACTCCCTTTTTGGGAGCTACTATGATTGAGAAGGTGCCAAGAAGGCGGAAATCCGTACAAGTGTAAAAACTGCTCTCATAGGCTCTGAATCCCGCAAGCTTGTGGTATGGGATATTCCTGATTCATGTTTTGCTATCCTATTTGTTCAGAACTGGCATGACCGAGATGCTGACGATGTCATACATTGCACTGGTGGTGGTTCGTTCAAATATGCTGAACTGATGCACAGCTATTTAGGAGTACAGTGAGTCAAAACTTTCTTTTTCAGCTTTTTACAGTACGTACGGTTTTGAGGATTTCTTGTTCATTATTTTACTCTGTGAGTTGAACAGTTCCATTTTAGGGTTCAACGAACAGATGAAATGACGTCCCTAATCCTTGGTTGTGATTTCCTTCTGAAAAACAATGTGGACGAATCATTCACCTACCATCATGAAGCTGTAGGAATAGAGAAGTCAGTGATTTTGTTCAAATAAGCCGTTTCATATCGAATTTTTCCCCCATTCAGCGTGCTTTTAGGTATCAGTATAAACCGATCACAGCTGATTTAGTCTATCCATTCCTATTAGTGAACATTGGAACTGGAATCTCGGTTTTGAAGGTCAGTCTAGGTTTTCATAAGTGCATAATGTTTGATCAGTTAGAAGTGGTAAACACTGTTCGCCCCTTCCAGGATTTTGGGCTTCCAGATTTCTAAAGCCTGTGTACGGCTTCCCTCTATGTTTTCTAATCTTGATTTTTTCATCGGTCACAGGCCCCAAGTCCGGTGTAACCTGACTCTTTTGATATGGGGTATTGGTATAAGAGGGGGGGGGGGGGGGGGGGGGGGGAGGGGAGTGTCCTCAATGTCGATATGCGTTATGTGTTCATTGAGGATAATGTGAGTGTTACAGGTAGATTCGCCTACTCAATTCCAAAGAGTTGGAGGTAGTTCGATGGGTGGAGGCGCGTTTATCGGTCTCGGCAACCTACTTACCCAAGCTCAAAGTGAGTTTTTCTATCGCCAATCATTCATCGATGAAATTTTTATGACTTTCTAACGCTGCGCTCCAGGTTTCGATGAGCTCTTGCTGATGGCGGAAAAGGGCGACCATCGAAGATGTGATACATTGGTATGTTCATTACCTAGCTCTCACCTTGTTCTACTATCACTTGCCCAACTTAAGAACATCAATTTGAAGGTCTGTCCGGTCATGCTAGAGTAACTTATGTCAAATATCCGCGTCACTAAAGTTTTGTAGCCTCTATAACCTAAATTTTTATTTTAGGTTTGCGACATCTATGGCGGCTCGTACGACAACCTGAATCTTCCTGCAGATCTGATTGCCGGCTCATTCGGTAAATGTAGTCGAATGGGTAAGCGTAACGCTCGAGGCGATCAGGAACAAGCTTCTGAACAGGATATCGCAAAATCACTGTTGCTTATGATTAGCAATAATATCGGGCAGGTTTGTAGAGATTTTTGAAAAATGTCTTGATCGATTTGGGATTCTCAAAAGAAATTTACAGATGGCAATGTTGTATGGTATGCGGTTCGCTATGAAACGAATATACTTTGGCGGGTTTTTCATTCGGAAGCATCCGATTACTATGCGAACGTTGTCGTATGCTATTAATTATTGGAGCAAGGTAAGTTTTTCAGAAACCAAATGTTCAATATATGAAGAGGGATCTTCAACCAGTACCTTTCCTCCGTTAGGATCTAGAAAAAGTAGTCGCTGATACAGCCTTTGGGTAATGTCGAGGTTCACTTACCGTTAAGTCGAGTCAGCGCTCAGGCCAGCGCGTAGGTCGAGGATGGATTATTTGAAAAAGCACTTTTATTAGAGTTCGAAAGCGCAGAGGCCGAGGAAGTTACCGGATTTTCCACAAGATGAGCTAGAGAGCAGAACTCTCTTGTCATAGCCCTTTTAGGGCTCTTCAAAGGCTTGAAAATTACAATGAAGAGACTTTATTCCTTATCCTCATATGTTCAGGGTAACATGGAGGCTTTATTCATGAAACACGAGGGATATCTTGGAGCTGTTGGCGCGTTTCTGGACACAAAGGACTCCTAAGCGTCAGATCGAGAGCGGAAAGTTGAATACCAAGATTGATTATAGTTGAGCAGCATTCTTGTGCCTGTAGATGGTAACCAGTGATACCAGTTTCATTTCTAAACGAGATCCTTGTGTGCGTTATGATTTAATCGCACGGACGGACACACATCATCTCCTGCATAGATTTCCACGATTTCATTCCTAACTCTTTCGTTGTATGAATTTAACCCCTATGAATAAGTGGACTGAAATAGGAGTCCATTTAGAAAAATTGTGTTGTGATTGTTCGTTTAACTGATCGTTCGTAACCATCTATTCACTAATCATCTGTCAGCTAATCATTTTTGGGGGTTGATTGGAATGCTTGGAAAATCATTCCAAACAAAATTGTTGACGTTTTAGCGTTGGAAAACACTGTTGAGGTACATACAATACAGCGAAATCCATTGACGGAAAGTGTGTTTCATTTCACTCACCTACTAACACGCTTGTTATAAGGCCAAATAACTGTTAATGTCGATATTATTTATTGATGTTGCACAAAAGAGCATTATACCGGTGTAAATCAACTTGTTCTAGTGTATTTATGTCAACATGTAAAATAAAAAAGGTATTCAAAATCAGTTGATCACATGAAAATCAAAACTTTGGGTTTTTTGGGTAAGGCACGAGGTGAAAGAGTTGTTGGAGGAGGGGGCACCTCCCTTATCCAATACTGAGAACTGAACGCTAAAGCTCAGAGAATGATTCTCAGTCAAGGGAACCTAAGCCTTAGGAGAGGGGAGCAAAGAGCTGGGCTAGATGATTTCTTCGTACAAAAATCTGAGATGGGGTAAGAATTGAACCTTTATTTGACTGACGCACCTTCCTAGAACCCCTTCCCTTCTAAGGCTCAGACTATCCCATCTCTGCGCTCTAGCGATGTTGAGAACGAGGGGTGCTCACTAACCCAACTACATTTTAGTCGGCACCGAGATCCAAGCATGAATAATAGGATTAAGTGAATCAACAGAACAAATGACTGCTTGCTTCCCACTTGGTCTGAGCTTTGATGGTGAGAACTTACGCGACGTCACGACCGATTAAGTCAAGCAGGCAGTCTTCCTAGCTCCCGAAGTTAAGCATCGGTTCCCTGTTGTTTGATTTATGGGAGTTCCTACTTGGTTTGAAGTTTGTTGGTATGAGTTGCCATAGTTAGGAGTTGCTCTGATTACGCATGGATAGGGTATACTGCGAAAGTTTCGAAAACGCTTTCGGGCCCTTGAGAATGACGAACTCGTCCGAATGGCAGGCACAGTAAATTTTCCATCATTAAAAAGCCTGTTCTCCGGAACGGAGGTACTGACTACATTAAAAGTACCTTGCCTTACTCCAGTAGGGAAGTACATTCGGATCTTTGACGGTGGTGTCAGCACTTCCTAGCAAAGGAAAATCCCTACCATACTAACCGTCGCTCACAGAAGAGGTTTCCTCGCCCTATGACATCTTTTTATGGGTTCAACTGGTCCGATTACACTCATGTGGTTTCAGCATTGTGACTTCCAACGCATTTCTTTCTTTAGGAACTGAGTGAATGTATAAAGTCATTTACTGCCTTCGAAAATGACGTACTTCCATAATTGGATCTGACATTTATATTCTTCAAGGACAACGGGAAGAGCAAAAAAAGATTATTTAGATGTTTGCGAACAACTTAAGGAATTCGTCGCAGTGTGATAATGGTACAAAAGAAAAAAACGCGGAAATAGATAAAGACATTTCGAAACACCTCCCTTCCTTGACATACCTGCAGTGTCAACTGAGACAATTCTACTTGTGGTATGGCCAGATGTTAGATTCCTGAAACTTTCAAGGTTCGAAATTCACGTTCTTCAATGACATGTAAAAAGACTCAAATCTACATGTAGGTGTTTCCATCCTCATGGTCAACGTTGACCTCACCAGTGCCCCAGAAAGTGAGCTAAATCGCATGACAACCTTTTCTTACCCCTTACGACAGCTACTTCTGAACCCAGCGATGAAGGCCCCTATACCATCAGTTGCGGACAACATTCTTCACACCATACCACAACATTATTACAGCCATGACTTTGCTGGTGCTGAAGTAGAAATTTGAAATTAGTCCGAATCTGCAATCTTGCTATAACAATGGCCTACTCACCCCTTCAACCGACTTGCAATCGGATAATATCCTTGAAATGAGTAAAAATACAATTTCTGTTATGAATCAGAGCAGATTCTAAATGAGAAGCTAGCTTGCGCAAAAGCAGTACTTTTATTCGAAAACAATACCACAAAATATTGGAAACAAGTCATGATGAACCCGCAAAAATGCTCAAAA